TAATAACTTTCATAGTAATGTATAGCTATTTAGTGGCACAACCAGGATTTTGACTCCATCTACATAACCCAAATCTTGTATACTTTTTACTATTATCATCCATCTTGTCCAAGTGAAAACAAATGCCAGAGCCCCAAAATAAATGCACCTAGTCAGGAACAATGGCTTTACATACCCAAAAATGTGGAGGAAAAAAAATGGGTTATCATACACAGAGGTGGGGAAAGAACTAGCTGGAGGTAATGTTTCATGAAGCTCCCCTAAAACATTTGCTTAGGAGTTGAGTTTCAGTGTTTTGCTTCTTGTTACAGAATAAAATCCCCCCAAAACATAAAATAACTTGGAATTTAAAAAGCATTTACCAGTCACCTATTTCATGTAAAGCAAGACAGAAGAAAGTGCTGCATTTTTAATATTGTTCTATACCTCAGCATGATCATGATTAATTTTCCTGTCCATGTCCTATTCTGGAAGCAAATTCTTTCAGGTTCTGACTTGATCAAAACTATGAAAGTCCTGTCTACACAGAAGGTAGAATGATAGACCCTGAAGTTTGGGAATAGAGGTGAGTGAGGCATTCCAAGTCTCCAAGTAGCTTACAGTTTGATAGAGGGAAGGCCAGCATGCACCTGACTAACACAATAGATGAAGGGAAGGAAGAGCAAGATGTCAAGAGGGGAAGGGTAGAGAATTGAGGAGGCCTTACATTCTAAACAATTGTGGTGTTATAACCGATGTTGTGACATCATGGATACAAAATGGCTTCATGGAGATACAGGGTTGAATCCTAGCTCCATGTCCAATGTTACCTAGTAGCTCTGTGACTTTCGTGAAGTTAGTTAACCTCTCTGAACCTCTGTTTCCTCATCTGTAAAATAATATATCTACCTCAGAACTTTCTTAGGAAAAATAATATATTTTTTAAAGTATGTGGTACAGATCCTAGCTCATTGCAGGTGCTAAGTAAACATGAATTCCACTTTGGATGATATAAAGATTGAAGCATTTGAAAATTTCATCCGAATGTTCTCCTGAGGCTTGGAATGAAGACAATGTTATGAATTTGACTGAAAAATGTTCCAAAAGAGCAGGCATAGATATGAGTAAAATATTTGAGGAAGAGAGAGAGAATTAATATTTAATGGATATGGTAATGTTAGGTTTTTCTGTTTTAACTTGTTGAGAAATACAATTTCAGTACTTCTATAAAACATGAAGACTTATATTTCATAATTTGCATAGCAGGTTTCATGTTTACTTCTAGAGCATTTCTAACTATAAATTTGTTTATCTCCAAGAAATTGGAGACAGAGCTCGGCTGCCACAGACACACCATTTATATTTATAAACCCAGATCTTACTAGTTTTACTACAATGAAATTTCTTGTGTGTATGTTTAGTTTTCAAAGAAAATTAGCAAAGAGACAGATAAGCCCCTCTGACACAGGATTTAGATTAAGATGACTGTCAAAATAGGAAAGATGAAAACAAGGTAGATTCCAATTAAGGCAAATGCAGTATAAATCATTCATACTGGGGAATTTTGACACCATAGAATGTTATGCAGTCGAAACATTTGGAAAGCATGGCAGAAAACATTTTGGGTATCTAAAAAGCCATACAGTAAGGCAAATATAATTTATTATTAAGGCAAGTATCCTATTGTGTTATATAAAATGTGGCAGCTTACAAGAGCCTAACAAAGTGTTGATTGTATATAGACGAAGTGTCAGAGAATTGTTTCCAATGTATGACATGATTGACATGGAGAGATTTCCTAGAAAACGATAAAAATAGCAGAAGAATTTGGAAGTGGTAGTGACTTGACAGAAATAAAGCCTTGGAATTAGAATATTTAGTCTTGAAAAAAGTATTACTAGGGGAGATGCATGTTCATCTTTCTTACTGCAAAAACATAAAAATGAAAATGGACAATTTCAGTACCTGGAGCCATTTTGTAACTGAATTCATCCAGGTATTCTACTCACTCCCTCATTTATTTTTTATTTACCAAAAAAAAGTTTATTGAGCATCTCAGACACTATGTTAGGAAAAGGAAGTTCCAAGGAGAATGAAAAATATTTCCTGCCCTCAGAGGGCTTAGTCTAATGGAAGATGAACAACTGTGCAAATAACTGCAAGTTGATGTGATGAATACAATAAAGTAGCAAAGTGATTAAATGAGGGTTGAGACTTGCACAGAGTTAGATGTTTAAGAAGGGACAGATGGAAGGTGGAATCTCCTGCCTTTATCATGGGTAATAAAGTCTTCAAAGTTATAAAGGAGAGTGTCCTATCTCTCTAGATGGGAGAGTTAGTGGTACTCAGAGGTGACATGGGGTATTTATCAAGTGGCAATGTAAAGCATGGGTCAGAAAAAGTTAAGAGTTCCTGATCTATGTTCCAGACAAGGCCATTTTCTTCTCTGGGAAATGCTATTAGAGACTGTGAGATTTTTGTGCAAAGCTTTGACCAATAGTTCCACTTCTGGTGCCCTACTAACCTCCTGTCAACATGCACACATACACCAAGATCCCTGTTTATGATAGCAAAAAGTTGGACAAGCCTAAATATCTAATGATAAGGGAGTTGTTAAATACAGTCTAAACTATGGAATAGAGTATTAAGAGTATTAAGAAAAATGATATTTATGTACATGGTAGAAGGCAGGAAAATATCCAAATTGCACTATTAAAAAAGGAGAAAAAGTCTTAATACAATAAATAGTTATGGTCTCGTTTGTATAGGTATGTGTGTATATACACACACAGCTACCCACAAACATACATATACATATCTAGCACACAACCATACATGTATCACTAGGGTAAGTTGTAGGGAAAGAGAGCAGTGAGAGAGAAGGTAGGGGAAGGCAGAAGAGACAAGAGAGTCTCTCAATTTTTATCCTGTGATTTTCTATATATTTCAAATTTTCAACATCCATAGACTTCATTTTGTAATTTAAAAAAGAAATGAGATAATGCCCATAAAGCATTGAACATATTGTCTGCCATGTGGCCAGCAATAAATGTTAATTGACTCTTCCAAGGTGACAAGAAAATACGACTTGCTCAAAATGATTTAAATCTGCATACAGTATCGTATCTTTATTTTTTAAATTTGAAATAAAGACAGGGTCTCTCTTTGTCACCCAAGCTGGAGTGCAGTGGTGAGATCATAAGTCACTGAAACCTTGAAATCCTGGGCTCAAGTGATTCTCCTGCCTCAGTCTCCCAAATAGCTAGGACTATATGTGTGTGTCACCACGTCTGGCCTGCATACAGTATCATATTGATGTTTATAAATAAATGTTTTCTCTCACTAGAAAATGAAATGAATTTTCTTAAATTATAGTCAATAGGTTTTTACCTTAAATATGTTGTTAAATATGTATTCTGCTTATTTAATCATTTAGGACTTAATTATTCAAAGCTAAGCATAAGCAGGAAGCCTTCCAAATCTGGATAATACCAGACTTTGCTTATGCACCAGAAATTTCCAGCCAACTATTATGGCTTTATCTGTTGTGTATTAAACTTTAAAAATATTTAATATTCAGAGTTTATTTTCCTGTTACCTATTTATTACTGAAAACGAAGGTCGAATCTTTTAGAAAAGCTATCCCTACAGTACTCAATACATATTCAGTAAGCCGAAATGAAATTACATTTTGTAGAACTTTTTCTTATAAAGAATTTGAAACACTCTGTAAGTAGATCATCTTTTATTATATTCATGCATCCTTGTTTTATTAAAGTTGTGAATAAATTGAATTGAAAATCAAATTGTTTTCTGAAATGTACTGATGTACTCGTACTCTATTAAAATTCTTCATGGTGAGTTTCTTTGTAATTAAAAGAACCATTTATAATTTCAATTAACATTTTTAAGTTTATTCGTGGGTAAGTTAGGCCTGCTGAATTTTCTAAAGCAAGACATTGTTTTGCCAAGGAAATGATAGAAGTTTCTAGGTTGTGATAAAAAATATTGAAACATCAAAAGACATTTCTTTGTACATGTTTATTGTGTTAATAAGTACCTTAGAATCTATTCTTTCTTTATTTTTATTGAGTTGACATGCCAAAAATATTTTTTTCTGTGAAACAATGGCAAAGGTATAATATATAGATTTCTTTGATATTTTTATACCCATAATTTTTAATGTTTGAAAAGTTCTAAAATTTGGCATGTGGGGCAAAGTTATGGGACAAAATTGAGGTATGATCCCAGTGGTCAACTTCTAGCAGACCCCCACTCCCTAACAAAACCTAGTTAAATTAAATGACATTTCTTACACAATTCATCACCAAACTCTTGATTGTCTGGTCTATCAGGCTAAGAGTAACTAAAGACTCTCCTCAATACCCCATTGAGTTGAGATTCCCATGGAATTTTTTTTTTTCTGCTTTTTGTTTTTGAGATAATTATAGATTCACATGCAGCTGTAAGAAATAACTTTACTCAGTTTCTCCCAGTAGTAACATTTTGCAAAACTATTGCATATTATGACAACTAGGATATTCACATTGACACAATTCATCAATATTATTCAGATTTTCCCCAGTTGTCTGTGTGTGTGTGTGTTAGTTCTGTGTAATTTTATCACATGTGCAGTTGCCAATATCCACCACTACAGGCAAGATAGAGAACATTTCCATCACCGCGAGGATACTTTACGTTGCCTGTTTATAACCACATCTACCTCCACCCCTCCCCATGATCCCCCATCCTCCCTCTCCCACCCCCAGTGGACTTTTTACAAGTTGGTAATTTGATGGTGGTGTGTTTTCTAGGTACCTTTTGGGAAATAACTGATTTATCATTTTCCTCTTGTAAATGTCTGTGAATAAATAATAGTAAACAGGCATACCCTTGAATTGTGTGTCTCCCCATTGTTTGGCAAAGGAACCAACAAGTGGATGAGGGTCTGCCTGAGCTGTGCAGCATTTCTAACTCTTGAAGGCACAGAGCCAAATTTGCTACCTTTGTTTCATTCCCAGATTACGCTCGATTTGAGGCCAAAATCCATGACCTACGAGAGCAGATGATGAACCACAGCATGAGCTCCGGGTCCGGGTCCCTGCGAACCAATCAGAAACGCTCCCTCTACGTCAGGTAGGCAATGGAGTATTTCTCTATTTGCACTTTGTGAGTAATTCAACTTGAGAAAACAAAGACAACACCATGTAGCAACAGAACATATGTTCTAATTAACCCATGTTCATCAGTACTCTACTGAAACATCTTATGTTTAACCATTTGGAATAAATGTCTGAAATGTTATTAGATTAAATTAGTTAAAGGTGCCTGCTTTTATCAAGTTATTCTTTGGCAATGTTATGATCCAGGATAAAGTGCTCAGCATAGGTAGCAATAAAAATAATGAGAAGAAACATTTTCATTTCTAATAAATCTTAAATGGCATATGTGGACCAAACCCTTGGACATTTGCTTACTGTCAATATGAAAAGAAAATATTCCTGTATTATCTCCTAACTTGCCTGGTATTGACTGCATTAACTTTAGTGCATAAATTTAAAATCCACGGCATTCTTCTAGAGTCGTGTACTTTTCTCTAACAAGTTTTGGCAGGAAGACTTCCTTCTGTGTCATCTCGTTACCAATTGTTTCTCAGACCGTAAAAGTTACTTGTTCCTTGTCTGACAAAACTTATTAATTTACCAGAAAAAGATAAATGATTGATTGAATGTGAAATGCCTTCCTGTCTTTCATTCTAGTAGCTACCTCTTGAGTTAAGATCCATCAACACTCAACTATAACATGTTCCTCTTCCAAGACAAGCTTCCTGTATTACTTCCAAACTTCATCAGTGCTGACTGTACTTTTAAAAATATATAAGTACTAACAGGCAAAAGGAAGAAAGTGATGCCTAATTAATGGTCAACATGAATCTATGTACCATATGGAAGAACTATGCCCATTCTTATTGTATTCTCCACTCCCCACTCTGGCCCAGAATCCAATCTGACTACAACCTGAGATCATATTCTTCTTACCTGAAATTTTAGGCATGAGGTATATGTTATAGATACTAATTTACATACTTGAGTTGAACTTTCGCTGTTGGTTCCACTTTGGCTCTAAAGTTAAGTTTTGTATGTATTTGTTATTCACAGCAGGGCTAAGAAGGGAGTGGGATTCTGGAAGGCACAGGTTCACATAGGGCCTAATTTCCCGACTGAACCAATAAGCCTGGAGTCCCTTCTTATTCCAGGGAAGCCCTGAGATTAAGAAAAACAAGTTATTAACCCTTCGAATTTGGCCAACTCCATTTCAAAAGATTATTTTGATACCCTTAATTGTAATCTGTGACTGTTCAGAACCACCCTAGAGCATATCTTGTAGGGACATCACAAATATGATGGAAAGTTAACAGCTCCATTTGTGGTTCTTCTTCTCTCTTGTATTGTATTGTTGGTCTACATGCTACAAAATATTTTTAAATTTTGAAATGTTTTAGTCCTTGGTAGCAAGTGGAAAAAGTCAGCTGGGTTAATAGGATAGAACTAAATCAGTTAGTGTAACTGAAATGCTTATATACAATAAAGCTCAAAGGGAAAATTACCAAGTATCTTATTAGAGACAGAATGCATAAATTGTTAAGATATTAGAAGAAATTTGCTGAAATATATTGCTAATAGCTATTAAGTTGTGGAAGATTAAGAAAATTAAATGAAGTGATATGATATTATATAAAATTAATACACTTATTTGAAAGAGTAGTAATTAGATTTAAATCTTTATTCTCTAAAATCATAAATAAAAGTATAACATACAGAAGAGACAAAGACTTAGAGTAACAAAAGTAATAGTTGGAGATTGTATTGAAGGGAGGAACCTCCTTTTAATGAGACTCAGAAATACTTGACACTTCATAAGAAATTCCCCAAATGAAATCTCTATAATATACAAATATGGTATTTGGTTTCCAAATGTTCAATTATTACTACTTATTTTGTACCTAGAGGGCTGACTTTAGCATCTAAATGACTCTAAGAGACATAGAATTAGAAGAAATATGGGCCGTGCATATAGTCGTATCAGTGAATCAGAAAGAAAGAACTTACAAGAGCCCCTTGGCCTTATTCTCATGAGAAGTGACAAAACAGACCAAAAAAAAAAAAAAAAAAAGGCAAGAAGCAAGGCCTAAATGAAATTCTTACCAAAAAGGATTCAACAAGTTTGTACTTTTATACTTGTTTAAATACTAATTTTGGCAACAGGATTTGCTTTGTCTAAAGTGCTTGTATAGGACCATGGTCAGTTGTGTTTATTTTAGAAAGTCAACTACTTGCTCTCTCAGAATAAATTACTAGCAGGGTTTCTCTGATTATATAAATATAAGAGGATGAGCATGGCTCAAATCTGAGAATAACATCCTGAAAGTGTATTATTCTCCTCACTTTGCTTAGCTTTGTGTAATTCGAGAGCTAGAAGGAACCTTAGTTATCATAGGGCCCTCTGCTTAACTTACAGAAGAGGAAACTGAGGCCTGAGGAGAACAGAGACAGAGACTTACCTGGGATCCCACAGCTATCTGTGGCAGAATTAGCTCTCCTACCCGCAGTCCCATATGTCTCCCGACATCACTCTGCCTCCCTAAGGGCTTAGTTTATGTGGTGTCAGCTGTTGAATACACTTTAGCTGTGATTCCCAATCTGCTTCTGTCAGCACAATGCTGGACTCTTTGATTAAGGAATAAGGAGAGGTGAAGTTCTAACACAAATGTCTTTGGGGTTTTTGTTCAGGATAAACCATGCTGTAGGAATATGGGATTTCTTTGGTATTATTTATAGTTTTCTATGAAGCCAAAACCTAAATCAGAAAGCAAGCGCCTTCTTTGTTCTGTGAGAAACAATGTAGCTGACTTAGTAAAATATGTGCTTGCACCAAAAAACCATTCTTCCTCTTGGATTTACCTCCCATACACTACACACACACACACACACACACACACACACGCACACACGGACGCTCACACATATGCTCCCAACTCTTGCCCTGGTCCTGTGGTGTCAGAGAGAATGTACCTTCCTGGGGTCTTGCAGAAGCTGCCTTCATTTCCCCACTAGAAATGATCTTCCCAGGTGGTGGCAATTTGTTTACCTGAAATTTTGAAGGGAGTGGTAACCAGCACTACCTGAGCCAGGCAGTATTTTAAACATGAGCCAACTCTCTCTATTTTCTAATCTAATTATAGTTTTTTTCTTTAATCTTTTGTGTGAAGTGCTTGAAGTACTTTAATGGTGCTGTGCAAGCGGAATTGATTATTGCTAATGTTAACTGTTCATGTTCTATGGGAATGATTTGGGTATGTTTGATTTAATATGCTACTTGTATTGTGTATTTCCTGCATTGTGAAACGTATAGTGGTAGAACACTGTGAAACATGTAGTTAATTTAAAAGTAAATAAAGTTACAAATATGAATAAAATGTTTTTCAAAATGCTGCACAAGTACATTATCAATGCTTCAAACGTAGATGCATTTAGGCTCCCGAGCTACTGGAATATGAATTTTATTGCATGTATTTTGAAGCTCTTGTTGTGGGCAGAGATGGCAGGCAACTGCCTTGGAAGAGTGAGTTTATGAGCTCATGAAGATCTCCCTCCCTCTCAAATATCCCTTTCCCTTCTTACCTATTAGCTGATAAAAGCTGGTATAATAAAGAACTAACAAGGCTTTTCCTGCTAGTAACAGGGATGCGTCTTTTGTATAAATGCTACTAGGAGAAGCCAAAGATATGGGGGATTAAATTTATACAAAAGTGCAAATTTCTAAAGAACAATCCTTTGTTTTGATAAAAGGAAAGTTAGAGTACCCAGGAAGGCAAGGAAAAAAAGCAAATCATTCCACCAAGGGGAAGGAGAAAAAGGTCACAGGAAATAATGTAAAAGAAAAACTCAGCCCTGTTCACTTGTTAATAAAAGATATCGATTTTGAGAGTTCAAGCAAATAACCTCTGAGTTTTGAATGTGGATTTAAGAAACAGTTGCCGTGACTTATTCAGGCCTTCATCAAACATTTTTGAGTGTATATTATGTGCCAGGACCTATAATGGACACTGAGGACACAGCAGTAACAGTTATGTTTCCTGTCTGCAAGAAACTTACGTCTGCTGGGGAAGACAGATGCAGGGAAGATAATTAAATGCAATGTGATATGAAAAGATCTGTTAGTTCTAGAAAGGCCTGGAATCTTGATTGTTTCCATGGAAGCATATCCGAATAATTCTTGAAGCTCTTATATGAAGTAACTGAGAGCCTTTCAAATATTTAGATGCAAAGTAAGAAGTACATTCTTTATCCTGACCCAGTAAATGCATACACACATAAAACAGAAAAGTTTTGTTAAATAGAAATAACACCTTTTGTATACAGTGTACTTTGTTATTTTCCATTCTATTTGTTTCTCTCCTTTTTAAAAAATGGAGATCATAGCTCATTAACTTGATTTAATAACTCACTAATGGGCCATGATTTACAGCTTACAGATGGAGTAAACAAGAGGGAACATTCCAGGCATATGACATGGTACACAGACAAAAAAAAGAGAGTGTCTTCACTACCTTATATTAAACATATCGAGGATCCTTAGACCCTTGATGTTGTAACCAACTTGGAAGGCAGTTATCCCTGCCACAGATGAGGCAGTAGAAATAGAGGGAAGTATTTGTCAGACACTTTCTACGGGTCAACCATTATTCTATTGTTTTACATGTATTATCCCATAGAATTCTCCCAAAAAACCTATGATTCAGGGGATATTGCCTCCATTTTATAGATGGAGAAACTGAAACTCAGAGAGGTTAAATGGTTCCCCCCAAGATCACACAGCTAGACAACACGAGCATGGACATTCAGATCCTATTTGTGAGACATTGGAGAGCAACATTTAAGCACACAGTTGCTAGATTCTGCCAGATAGAAAAACATGTGAATCATAGTTCTGCCGCATCCTAACTCTATGACCACAGACAAATCAGTCTCTTTGGGCTTTCTTTATCTGTGAAGATGAGTATAGTAATAGGATACCATAAAGTGGTTGTGAGGATTAAATAAAATAGTGAATTTAGATACCTGGCACATGGGAAG